AATGTTTAATTACATCCTAAGTTTACAATATCAAAAAAGATATTGTACAGTCGGTGCCCTCACTTAAGTATTTGTACTAAGTGCTATACAAATGCTGGATACATAAGTGAGGGCACCGACTATACAACGGCAAAGAATACCATAAAGCTACGCTATTTGGACCATGTAAATGTAAAATTAGAGATGCATTCTACCGGCTAAGGATATATTTATCAGAAAACGTTAGACAGTTACAGGATGAAAACTTTTTTATACGTGACAGTAAAATGATTTAATCCGCCTGATGTTGAATGGACAGCGGAAACCTAGTGCAATGTTGCTATAAACAATAAATGGTACTGTCTCAACTTTCATACTTTGGCACAACTTATGACCTAGCTTATCCAGCTTATCGTATCCATCATGTACGTGTAAATGTTTCAACAGACTGCTGTGCAAATTTCCAACCAACACTAGAATTGCAAAGCCTATTCAGAAATCAAGTTGTCTCCGGTACTTGCAATTCAGCTGTGGTGAGGTTGTGTCTCAGAACCAACTTAATTATTACGTAAATACCAAACAATGGTAGACTCCATAACAACAGTTGCTCTATCTTACAAGGACATGAACCAATATTGATTGCGATTGTAATACAGAAAAATCCCAACAACTTAGCATTATTATAATCCATCTAATTAAGCATCAAATATTGCAGCCAGTTATAAATATATTCCTTTGGAAATTTGCAAAAATGCCTTAGAAAGTTTTGAGGACTTTAAATCTAAGATTGTCGTTTTGATCAGTCTAAAAAACAGGGTGAAAACAAGTCGTCCCGTATATCACCTTTACATCTCTCTTTTTTCGAGATTGGTTTTGATTTTTGTGTAGTTAGGCTTCAAATTTCGTAAAGCTTGGTTCACAATATCGGTCGTCTCTGGTATACATAGTTTTTTCCCGATCCTGGTCCTGGAACGAAATTGTGTCCAGATTCTTTGAACAGTGGAACGACTGACACCAAACTTCTCGAAAAAGATTTTACTCTGTCGGTCGACAGAGTAAAATCTTTTTCGAGAAGAGTCACTATGTTATTAGCGATTATTGTCTTCTACGCCATAGTGTGGTATGAAATTGGTCACAAATAATGAATTTTAACAGTTGGACAGCGATGGCATTAAATTAAAATTAACTGAGACTTTTTATTAAATTAGACTTAAACAGTAATATTTACTTAATACACAACACAACGTTAACAAATCGTTGCATTTCATTTAAACATTTCAAATGTAGAATGTTTTAACGTGCCGACCCGTACTCTTTAATACATAAACTAAATGTTTCCGATTATTCGTATGCATATAAAACCTCTTTTTAATAAGATTTGGATGATAGATCGTAAAAAATAGTTTTAGTTGCCTCATTGACTTACAATTATATGGACGTCGGGTCCGCGCTAAAAAGTGTCCGCACTTGTAAGGCGCTAAAATCGTATACAGAGCGCGACACTCCGCTTTAGTCTTCATTTGTTCTACTGACAGCGCGATACTGCGATGACATTACAATTTAAATTTCGAATAGGTTGACTTGGGACATTTTTTTTCGTGGTTTTTGTATTAGACCCGTCGTCCATTTATTTGTAAGTCAATGAGTTGCCTGTTTATTTTGAAAAAGGGTTTAATAATGTTAATACAGAAAAAGAAAACACGTGACGAAATAACGCAAAGCAGCAATTTGCTGTTCACTAATTATGCCATGAATAGCGAGAGGACAACGCGAATTTTACATACAGTCAACAGCACGTCAAGGTTGATACTAACGAATACAATTCAACTCTATGTCAGTTAATTTGAATTGTAAACACGTAATTTGTATTTGTATTTCAAACTACTTTAAGGGCATTTACAGTTCGCTTTCTCTACCTAATTTCGGTGGCAATTTTTATTATGTACAAGTTCTAGAATATTATCATGAAGTGAAATGT